ACACACACACAAACACAAACACAAACACACACACGCACACACAAGCACACACACACACAAACACACACACAAACACACACACACAAACACACAAACAAACACACACACACACAAACACACACACACACACACACACACACACACACACACACACACACACACACACACACACACACACACACACACACACACACACACACACACACACACACACACACACACACACACACACACACACACACACACACACCCCCCACACACACACACACACACACACACACACACACACACACACACACACACACACACACACACACACACACACACACACCACACCACACACACCACACACACACACAACACACACACACACAACACACACACACACACACACACACACACACACACACACACACACACACACACACACACACACACACACAAACACACACACACACACACAAACACCACACACACACACACAGACACACACACACACACACACACACACACACACACACACACACACACACACACACACACACACACACACACACACACACACACACACACACACCAACACACACACACCAACACACACACACCAAACACACACACACACACACACACACACACACACACACACACACACACACACACACACACACACACACACACACACACACACAAACACACACACACACAAAAACACAAACACACACACACACACACACACACACACACACACACACACACACACACACACACACACACACACACACACACACACACACACACACACACACACACACACACACACACACACACACACACACACACACAAACACACACACACACACACACACACAAACACACACACACACACACACACACACACACACACACACACACACACACAAACACACACACACACACACACACACACACACACACACACACACACAACACACACACACACACACACACACACACACACACACACACACACACACACAGCAACATTCCAGATACATCTTTGATGTTTTCGCAGATGGTACCCTCCTGCGTAGCAGCATGACTTCCTGAGGGTCCCTTTCAGAGGAACAATAACTTCATCCTCGAGGCAGGAATTCCACGTTGGTGTCCCTATTTTGAGGTCAACCCTCGTTCATGGCCCGCAAAAATTTACGCCGAAGGTACCTTGAGGACGCCGCTGGCACCTCCGGCTGCTTGAAATGGCCAAATGTGAAATCTAAGTGGATGGTTTGGGAGGAAATGCTATATATTTGGTGAGCAACCCTAACTTCAATGGTTTACTCTACAGTTGTCTCCCCCCCATCCCGAAAATACCGAAGAGCTTGGGAGCCTACTGGCCTGATTCCTGGAACGACAGCTTTGGAGATCTAGGTGTGTCTTGCTTTCGGGGACGTTTACCCCAAAAAAGGGGACCATCAATTCATATGGAATTCCCGCCGTTCGGGGCTCGGTCCTGGTTTGGACCATTGTCCTTTAAAAGGGACAAAGGTTCCAAGTTGCATTGGCGGGCCTCTCAAAATCTTGGTTTTGCTCTTGGTTTCCCTTCAAACCAACCCCAAAAAAGGTTAACCTATACCCTCCAAAGAGCCAAAAGCTAAAAACAACACCCTCAAAGAAAAAGGCTTTTTGGTGAGAGGGCAACCCAAAATCCGCCACTCATCCCCCAGTCATCACCCATTCCTAGGAGGCCGTCGGGCGCCCCTGCCAGCCCGGCATGCGGGGCTCCTCCAGGTCGTAGCGCGGAACGCCTGAAAAAACGGACCACGGGTGGGATCCGCCTGGTGCACTTCCCTGCTCACCAGCAAGTTCTACTTCACCGCTGTTGGATCATGGTTATTATGATAATTCTTACCGTGATTGTTACTATGATTCGTTTATTTATGATGACTATTATTGTTGTTATTATTATTATTATTATTACTAGTTTGTAGGTTGTTTGGTCCTGTTCATTTTTAGCAGGGGGATGCGTTTCTTGCTGGTGATTTGGGATGCAGGGAACGAGAAATGGATTGACCCCGATTTAAGCCCTCCAACTGGTGGTCTCATTTGAGGGGATCCCCAGGTTCATTCCCTCATTCCCTACTGAGCAACAGCAAGCCGCTGGGTGGGAGTCCTGTGCTTTTCTTATCTTTTCTTTCTTCGTTTTCTCCAAGGGCAATGTCTCAGATGGCTGTGGGAAACCCTGTACCCCTGGTGAACATCAAAATAGGTGGTACATGGGTGTTCATCCGCGTGTCCTAGCTGTCCTCTTCGCAAACCATAAACCTAGTTTGCACAGCCCCCCAGAAAACACGAATAGACGCAAGGAACTAGAACACATCATGCACAGAACCGTAAGGCTCTTCAAACATCACCCTTCCAAAAGGAAACTCACTTTCAACTGGCCCGTTTTTCTTGGTCAACTCAAGCTTTACAGGGCTCCTGGCACACGTTCTATGTGGCTATTGCCCTCTGCACAAATCACATGTTCACTTTTCGCTGGTTAGTGGAAACTGACAAGTTGAAGCTTCAGGATCCACCCCAGCCATATTCAAAAGCGAGATGTCTAATACTGCCCCTACGCCAAGCAACAAAACACCAAGCCTACGTCCTTACCATGACTCAAACTGACCTTGGGACTGGCGTCCTTACAAGGATATCTCCAAGCTCCTCCAAAATTAGCCGCTAAAATACTTGTTATTAGCATGCCCAAAATCGCAAGTACTCTCCAAACAATGCAGTAGTTAGGCCCCGGTGCTGGAATGCTTCCTTTCAGGACTCGGTGACACTCACACCGTCTCCGGCTTTGGAATCCGCGCCTTCGGTGGAGTCCGCCTTCGCTCGCTTGTACCTGAGCTCAGGCATGGGTTGGATGACTGGCCACTTAGCGCCAAGTGGGTGAACTGTTGGCTGGTGGAAAAATATGGAAAGGCAAAAGGGCAAACATACTGCGGATGGACAAAATCCATTTCGCACCACTTTGATACCATGGGAAACCATTCTTTGCCGGCATTTGCAGGGGCGTGAGCAGAAACCAGGGTCTCTTAGGTGCAGAAATTTCGTCCATCCACAGTATGATATACCTCTCACTTGTACCTTAGGGATCTGGAAATAAAGTTTGAAGGCGATCACCTTTTGGAACCTTGACTGAAAGATGGACAAATGGCTATCGGTATGGGTCAAAATGATACCAGGGGGAATCCGCAGGTTTTAGTCCGTTTCCATTTCCCAGGGTTCCATTTTGGGTGCCTAATTATTTTTGACCCACAGCCACATGTTGACAAAACGAAATGATCAATAGATCGATTCGCTGCGGGCAACTGAGTCAAAACTGGTCTGTCAAGGCGATTCTGTCAATCGGCGCGGGTCCAACACCTGGACGCTTACATAGGTGTTGTCTGCATTTCTTCAACCCCAAACTGGGAACACACGAATTGGATCCCCGAGTAAAGGACCATACAAAGCTCGTTTTAAGCATCTATGCTGGGTCTAGGGTGTGTGGTAAGAGGGTTGGTTGACTGATCCGAATTGCAAACTTCGGCTCTCTGGCTGAAGAACACATGAGGGGCCACCAAACACACAAAAAAACACCCAAAAGGAAAGCCAGGTCTAGCAATGCACGCAGAGACGACTGGCCAGTGAGTAAAAGAACCACCGGTGAAAGTTTGCGTGGTCACCTTTTTTTGGTCGGTTGAGTTTAAAGGGGAACCCTTACAAAACAAATGCAACAAAGGGCACCACTGGGCAACGCTAACTTCGGGTGAGGCAACCCGAAAGCAAGGCGAGTGCGCCGCGAGCGAGTGGCACCCCTTTTCCGTGGCGCCTCACGCCTAGTGCCTTGCACACAGGGTGCAGCTGCCGCATCATGGACCTTACGAAGATTCTTCGGACGTCGGGGCCAAGATCGTAGCTTGGCTTGGTGGCTGAAATTTTGGGAAGCCCAAATTGTATGTCCTTCCCAAACTAACTCATGGACTACCAGTCATTGTGTGAGTTGCTCCTCTGAGCAACCAACAGAAAAGAAAAACAAACAAAAAAATACCCATGGGCTTTTACGTGGACCAGAATGGTGAGGGTTCGCACAGGCCTGGCGAGTTAATCCCAATTGAAGACAGGTCGTACAACCCAGCTACTGAATGGTACCACGAATTTACATGCGTCCTTTTGGGAAAATAGATGGCACTGGCAGATGGAACACAATCTAAACCAGTGCCATCTATTTTTATCCAAAATATCCTTAAAAGCACACCTACGCAAACTTACTATACATTGTATACTATACATAGAATGGCCAAGCGGCAGCGCTTGGGCGCTCTGAATCACTCAGAGAGCAAAAACCGTGGCCACCGAGCCCGAGCGTCTTCCGGGGTCCGTTGGCTTGTGTCGTTCAGAGGCGCTTGTTTTGTTTTGTCCTGCGGGTTCAAGGAAAACCCTCCCAAGTCTCAAGTTGGAAACCTTCTTCGAAGGGTTTCGGGCTTTGCGGCTTCAAAAACAAGGTCCTCCAGTAGAGAGGAAAGAAATGGTTCGAAGAAGGGTACCGCGACTTTTCTTTTTCGGTAGTCTATTTTAGTAGGGGAACCCTCCCCAAGAAAAAGGGGCAAAAGGGCACTACTGGGCGTACAGGATCAACGACCGGTTGGCGCCCGTCGGGGATTCCCCAGTAGTCGGGCTGCAAGCGGGGTTCTTGGCCCAGCCCAATGCACAAGTAAGACCTTCAGACTCTGTCTCATAGCTGACCCGCCCTGAGGGTCATGACCCCAATGCAGACCCCGGACCCTCCAGTGGACCCCGACCAATTCCTCACGGGCCCTCAACAACAACCCATTTGGAGGGCCCAAAACAGTCAGGACCCTGAGGGCATGTTTAATCCTCAATCTTCAGATTCCATTCAGACTTCAGATCTTCAATGTTTTCGCAATTTTAGAGCCCCGTCCAACCTCCTGTTGCTTTCCCGAAAAGGACTGTGGCGCGCAACATCCTGCAGAGTCTGCGCCAAACGAAAACAGAAGCCATGTCGCCGAGGCGCAGCGTCCGACGCGCCTTCGCGTGCACGGGATTCAAGGCCTTTGTCTTTGAAAGGCCTTGGAACGCGGAAGCCGGATTCAGCATAGAAATGTCTGGGCTGCCCTCAGATCCCCTGCTAAAAGTGAATCAGGTTAAATGGAAACCACCACTAAACCCTGAAAACCTAAAAAGCCAAGGAATGGCTGGGAGCCACCAAGATGTATATGTATACACGGATATACAAATTTGGCCATGAAGTTTAATAGGGAACCACCTCAACCTCACCTAAATAATGTCCACCAAAGGTCCCTTATTAAAATTCATAGCCATATGTATGCACGTACTTATGTATGTACCTCTAGAATCATTACGTACACATACAATGCATAGCAAGTGCTAAGTTTGTTTCAACATAGGGGAACCCCCAGAATGCTTAGACTTAATTAGGTTTCCCTTAAAACCAACCCAAACAAGTGCACTGCAATAAAGACACACTGATATGCCTGCCACGGTTTCCACTACCCCCAACCACTACCCCAGGAGGAAAAAGGAGTAAGTCGGAGTAAGTCCTGGTTACCTACTATATACCTCCATTTGAGCGTTGGATTTTGTTCCCTACAACCTTCATTAGACATTGTTCAATCTTCTGTGGACCCTTCCGCAACCTTGCCCGCGGGCCAAGAGGTCCCTTCCGCGAACTTCCGCGGGACATGTGTTTCAGTGTTTGCTTCCGCAAACCTTCCGCGGCGCATGCTTTACAAGATTTGCTTCCGCGAGAATTGGCGCAGAGAGAGAAAGTCATTTTAAGTAAGGAAGCAACGTAGTGTTTCGCCACAGCCTGTGTAGGCTTGGGCTCCATTGAGATACCCGTGCTACCGGCAAACACGGGGCCACCCTTCCGCGGAGCTTCCGCGATCCTTCCGCAAACCGTGCGCGAAATCCGCCGGCTGCTTTGGTCTTCTTGGGTGGCTGTTGGCATCTGTTGGCAACTGCTCTTCTAGTAAGCGTTGCGCTTCTTGTACGCAGCAACACTTTTCTGCTTCTACTGTCATCGTTTCTCCGTGCTTTTCCAAGCATGCAAAACTGAAACAATAAATTCATATCAGCCACAAAGCTTCCACACACTTTCCGCGAAATAATACCTTCCGCGAAGCCTTCCGCATGCTTCCGCGCGTGTGGCGCGGTGCACATGTTCAAGAATAATGTCCCTCTCCCTACTAAATTAGCTTGCGGCCAAAAAAACCACTGCTGATTTCCTTTTTCGCCCCCGTGGAAAAAATATGAAGAAATAATAAATACGTCCAGTAGTGAAATCAATTCCCTTAAAACCAACATGGAGAAATCAAACAATATTCTCTGAACCCAGAGGCTCCAATTCGATTGATTTAGGGCCCTCAACTAGGCAGGTTTTGAGACCCCCAAACATTCCCGGGTGTCCAATGGAGGATCTGGGTCTTCTGTTGAAAGCCCCAGAGATTCAAATGAAAGAAAAGTGGCCTGGCTGGAAGCACTGGGTTAAGAGGCGCTGACTTCAATGGGTTTCCTGCCGAGCATCCGCCAGAATCCTCAGAGTCGCTGTCCGTGTCTGCGGCTTCCTTATATGGCCGGCCGAGGGCAAAATGGGTTCCATCACACATGGGGCTGTCTGTTTTTTGGAGATGGTATATACCTGTTTTTGCGTTTAAAGGGAAACAAACAGAAAACCACAGTTGTGGGTGACCCTAGAAACAGATACACCCAAATTGGCTTCTTTTGGATGCAAAAACAAAGGCAAAATTGTGCCTCGCCGCAAGCGATCAGAACCGTTTTACTCGAACTCGCTCAATGGGGCCCCTGATGCAGAGCTCTGCCAGGCTGGTCGAACCACTGAAAAGAGGCACCAAATGAAACTTTGATCATCATGTCTGATTTGGGCATGAATGTTAATTCGGGACCCCCTGGTCTACATCATTTAGGGGGGGCTTTATGTCCAGCAACCACTTTCCAAGGGGTTCTTCATTTGTCATTTGGCTGTGGGTCAACAATAGGTACCCAAAATGGGAACCCTGGTAAGTGGCAACATGGACCAAAACCTGTGGTCCCCTGATGGTTTAATTTTGACCCACAGCCATTTAAGTTCATGGCCATTTTCAACAAGTCTGATCTTCGCTTTGGCTTCAAACGGGCGCGTCGATCGACCTCACTACCTATCCAAAGTCCTGGGGCGTGGTATGCAGAACCGTGGGTCCCCGCACCGCACGACAAGGCCGTGTTGCTTTATGGGTGTCACAAGGACCTACTGTGGATGGTTGCGAAATCCATCTCTCGCACCACCGGAGGAAAAAAACACCAACGGATTGATTCGATTCCCCTGTAAATGCCAACCAGCCATTTGGGTATTTCCTAGTTGCAAAAACCATCTCGCACCACAAAATCATACCATGCTTGAAACCATGACTTGCTTTTGTATTTACCGGGGAATGAGCAGAAACCGTCTCTGAACGGTGCGAAACGGATTTCGCAACCGTCCACAGTATTTTGTCCCTTGAAGTGCACCTAAAATATCCTCACACCAAAACCAGTCAACACCTTTTGCTTGCGACAAACATGTTCATCCACACAGTATGCTTGGTTGACGTTGAAAGGGGAGCAACAAATGAAATTTAGTAGTTAAGTGGGGATTTTCCACTAAACCACAATAAGCAAAAATGTAACATGTTTCCCAACGACAACCATGTATGGACCCGCACACTATCCTTAGGGCAATTTGAGGGCCCAAGTATCCAGAAACTCTAGTGAGCAATGGAGAAGCAGCCAACCGCATCTGCCCACCCACTTGCACGGCTCACATATGGCATGCACGGTACA